TGGTGTGCCCTCTGGGGCACTTTTTAAAAAAATCTTTTTATATATTTTGTTAAGTATTTCCCAATTACATGTAAAAGGTTTTTTTTTAACAATCATTTTAAAAAAAATTTGAGTTCCAAATTTCTCCTTCCCTCTTGTCCTTTCCTTTCTTTAAGAAGGCAAGCACTTTGATTTTGATTATATGTATGAGGTCATGCCAAACATATTTTCATATTAGGCATGTTGCAAAAGAAAACACAAACAAAAGAAAACAACAAAAATAAATAAATTTTTTAAAATGTGCTTCAATATGCATTCAGATTTCATCAGTTCACTCTCTGGAGGTGGATAGCATTTTCCATCATGGGCCCTTTGGGATTACCTTGCATCATTGTCTTGATCAGAGTAGCTCAGTCTTTCACAGTTGATCGTCTTGACAATATTGCTGTTACTGTGTACAATGTTCTTCTGGTTCTGTTCACTTCATTTTGTATGAATTCACACGAGTCTTCCCAGGTTTCTCTGAAACCATCCTGCTCATCATTCCTTATGGCGTAATAGTATTTCGTTGCAATCATATACCACAACTTGTTCAGGTATCCACCAATTGATTGGCATCCCCCTCAATTTCCAATTTTTTTTTTTGCCATCGTGAAAATAGCTGCTACACATATTTTTGTACAAATAGGTCCTTCTCCGTTCTGTTTGATACCAGAAGTTGAGGATACCAACTTAGTAGTGGTATTGCTGGGTCAAAGGGTATGTACAGTTTCATGGCCCTTTGAGTGTAGTTCCAAATTGTTCTCTAGAATGGTTGGATTACTTCACAACTCCACCAATAGTGCATTAGTTTCCCAATTTTTCCACATCTGCTTCAGCATTTGTCATTTCACTTTTCTGTCATGTTAGCTAATCTGATAGGCGTGAGGTGGTATCTCAGAGTTGTTTAAATTTGCATTTCTTTGATCAATAGTGATTTAGAGCATTTTTTCATGTGACTGTTGATAGCTTTGATTTCTTCTCAAAACTCTGCCTGTTCATATCCTTTGACCATTTATCTATTGGGGAATGACTTGTATTCTTATAAATTTGACTTAATTCTCTATGTATTTTAGAAATGAGGCTTTTATCAGAGAAGCTTGCTGTAAAATGTTTTCCCCTGGTTTCCTGTTTTCCTTCCAATTTTAGCTGCACTGGTTTTGTTTGTGCTAAAGCTTTTTAATTTCATGCAATCAAAGATATCTAGCTTATTTCCTGTAATCTCGTCTCTCTCTTGTTTGGTCATAAACTCTTCCCTTATCCATAGATCTGACAGGTACCCTCTGAGACACTTCAGACCTTTACTTCGTAAGATTCTGTGTCCTCTTCCAGCTTCACTTCTTGCATCTTTCTTTTTCTTCTAATATTTGTAAAAATATATACAAACTTGGAGTCAGCCATATCTGCTTCTCTCTAAGAATTACACAAATAGGGGCAGCTTGGTGGTGCAGTGGATAGAGTACCAGCCCTGAAGTCAGGAGGACCTGAGTTCACATCTGGCCTCAGACCAAACACTTGACATTTACTAGCTGTGTGACCCTGGGGAAGTCACTTAACCCCAAATGCCTAAAAAAAAAAAAGAATGAAATAAATAACTCAATTTGGTCTGATTAGCATAGGTATTGAAGAAATCAGGCTATAGCCAATTAAAAATTTAAATGCATTTAAATAAAACTTGAAAGTATGTCCCCAAGCCTGATCCTACCCATGCTTAAAGCCTCAGGGAAAGGTTAGATGCCTGGAAGCAAGAGTAGATTTCCATAGTCATCTGAGGAAATCTTTTGTCCTGTTGAATGGGGCTATGGACCCCAAAGTTTTAACTAGCTGGAGGCATTCTGGTCCTGGGCATGAAGGATGATGGTAGATCTTCTGGGGAGGGAAAATTAGGCGCTGGAGCAGTGAAATTGAACTAAGAAAAAGTGACAGGAGTAAAAAGGACCATGATGACTTCCAGGAGAAGAAGTGAATGACCATAGACAGATGGACCCAAGATGCCTGTCAGGAATGAATGACAGTTGTAGAATGCTGGATTGCTGTTGGCAGAATGGTAATGAGGTGGGATGTGGGAACAAACAACTGCTGAAGAGTGCCATTTGGAGGAGGCTCTAGCCAAGAAGCAATGAGGCATAGAATCCTGACGTGAAGAAGTGAATGCTAAGTTCTTTTCCCCATTCAGAATAGTACTAACAGTCACAGGGACTGTATAAGTCCCTGGGAATGTGATCTAGTGGACTGGGCAAGAATATCTTGACTGGTAAGGACTCTTGAGTTCTTTCACCATTAAAGGTAGTATTCTGAGTCATCAGAACTGGACATATCCCTTAAGGAAGGCCAAGGCCCATCTGAAAGGGGAAAGGGGCTCTCTTTTAGAGGTCAAAGTTTTGTAGCTCATTGATTGCTGTATAAGCTACTAATTCTGGCCATTTTATGAGTTTTTAGACCCATTCTCTTGCTAAGGTTCCACATAGGATATTATTGTAAGTCATGAAGATTTTAAAGCTACCTGGAGAAAGGTGGGAGCTCACCAGAAAGGAGAGGGATCCCTTGACTCTTTAGCAACTTTGGATTTCTTTTCCTTGATAAAGGAAAGTATGTCTAGTTCCCTGGGGGAGGAGTTGGAGGTCTACTGAAAAGGGGAGGATGCCTCTTGAATTTCTAAGATCTCAAGTATATCTTTTCCATATAAGTAGAATCTCTTCTGTATTTGATATTTTGTGAGGCTGAATGCTTGCAAGGGGTAGCTGATGGCCATCTTTGGGAGAATAACATACATTGATATCCTCAGATTTCACCTGGATAGGGGCAAATAAGTCAGAGAAGTGTAGCATTTTCCAAAGAGTAATTGGGGGTATCAGGAGGGAAGCTTTGACCCAAGAGTGAGAGTAGGAGTAAGGAACCTGTGGCCTTGAGGCAATATGTGGCTTCAAGGCTGCGGGTTCCCCATCTTTGGGCTAGAGGCTTGGTTTTTGAGCCAAGGCATAGGGATTTGGGTATGGGCAGGATCAGATTTGGGAGAGGGCAGATAGATTTTTGAAAAAAAAGTTTTTATTTAAATTTGTAATTGCCTAATAGCCTGCTTTCTTATAGACCTGTAATGCTGAGTTCAACTGCCAGGTCCCTGTCCCTTAGCCCCTGCTCTAGCACCCTGACTTTAGCTCAGTGTGTACTAGCTGGAGAGATAGTTCATTCTTAGTACATGCCCTGTGGTGTTGAGCAGTGTCCCCAGTCTAGGGAACAGGTTCTAACCCAGGACTTGGTTATAAACAATCCTGATCTAACCCTGGAGTTATGTCTACAGTACACCCAAATAACGGGCTGGAACCTGAAAAAAAGATCAGTCAGACTGGTTGTTTGGCATCCTATCAATACGTTCTTGGTCCCACCCAAAATTAACTGAATTTAACGGACTCTTTTCTCCCCTCCAGAATTTAGTAAAACCAGTCTGTGTCTATAGACGCAGTCTCCTAGTTTATCTTGGCTTTTGAACAACATTGGAGAAACTGCTCAGGAAGCCAGATGGGATGTCCGTGGCAGATGTCTCAGTCTCTGCACTAGATAGAAGGTTAGTCAGAGGGATATCTGTTTTTCAGACCTTACGTGTGGTCTAGAACTTTTTACTCTTTCTGTTGGTGCCCAATGCTAATTCCTTCTTCTCAAGGATAGGCCTTCTCTGTTCTATTCTCTACAAAAAAAGGATCATAGAATTTTGAACTGAAAGGGGCCTTAGAGATCATCATAGGCTACCTTTCCTTTGACTGTTGAGGAAACTGAGACCCAGACAAGTGAAATGTGTTGTCTCAATTCGCACAGGTAGTACGTAACAGAATTCAAACCCAAGTCCCCTGTCTTCACACCTCCTGGTTTTTTTTAAATTCCTCACTGCTTCTCTGTCCCTTAAGGTGTCCCTGGACAAGAAGCAGTGTAGGGTGATCCTCAGCTCTGGTTAAGCCTCTGCTATATCTGGAAAAAAAGCAATATATACATCTTCCTACTTCTATGAAATCTCATTTCTACTCCTGAGAAGCCCTATCCAAGAGGCCTAGGGATGTGGATGCCACAGACTGAATCCCATTTGTGGTTATGTTCTCTTTTAGACAATAAGGCATCTGGCTTCTGAAGACACAGATGTTATGTAGCAAATGGAGGTGAGGGCTGGAATTTTAGGGAGGATGCCTTAGATAATAACAATTAGGTGTGCTTAGATAATAATTATTTGTGTTTCCGTAACAACGTAAGATTTATAAAGCCTTTTCCTTATAGTGCTCCTCCCTATGAGGTAAATAGTACAAATTTCATCCCTTCTTCATAGATAAGGAGAGATGAAGGTCCAAGGTCACCCAGCTTGTGAAGTGGCAAAGCTGAGACTCAAATCCAGGTCCTCTGGTTCCAAATCTGGGGTTCTTTCTACTATACCTCACTGCCTATAGGAAGAAATGATGACACTCTGCTATTGGTAGCTTCTCAAATTGTGATTAAAAATCATACATTTTGATTATAGTTAGGAATAACTGGGATAGGATGAAAGCATGAAATAAGTTTGTGATTAGAAGAGGTGTGTGCCTCGGTGCTGATGTAAATGAAGCATAGGAATGTGGAAAGTTAGAAGACCTGGATTTAAGTTTCAGATCCATCACTTGCTAGCTCAGAGGGACAAAATGATTTATCTAAGCTAACTTATGACAGAGATGGCACAGGAATCCAGGCCCCCTGACTCCAGCAGGGGCAGCTGGTGGTGCCAGTGGATAAGAGTGCTAGACCCAAAGTGAAGAAGATCTGAGTTCCAATGCAGCCTCAGACACTTTACTAGCTAGGCAAGTCACTTAACTTCTGTTTGCCTCATTTTCTTCAGTGGTAAAATATAAATAATAATAGCTTCTGCCTCCCAGGTACATGTTGTGAGGATCAAAGGAGATAACATCTGTAAAGTGCGTGTAGCAAAATTAAATAAATGCTGTTTCTTTTTTTCTTTCTATGATTCCCAGTTCAGGGATCTTTCTATTATACCCCACTGTCTCCAGATAAGAACTTTGGCCTGGAACTTTGCAAGAGGGGACTTTGGAGCAGACCAGAACCCTTGGGTTGGTGTCATCAGAATCCCGATTTCCACAGTCACCTGTCATTGGAGGAATGGTCCTAGAGTGTCCTGGAGAGGCTCTGAAATAATGGCATCCAAGCATGGGTAGAAGAGTGTAACAAGAATCATGAAGCAGGAGTAAAAAAGGACATTTTCAGAGAGGTGGATGGTTGGAAAAGAAGGAAGCTGCTCATGCTAGTAACTGCCAATGGACAACCTGCATACAATGCTGGAATCTGTATGGTGTCAGCAGAACTAGAGGAAGTCTTGCAACACATCAGGTGTAGTTTTGAAAGGACAGTTTGGGTGGGAGCTGCTTTGAATGAGAGACTATGGCTGGATGGTATCTGCATTCCTAGAAGTCCTTCATTGATGAGATCCCCGATTCATTGCAGGACTGAGGACTCATATGCCACTTGATCTGCATATCTCTTATTTGCTCTTCTTCTTTCAGGCTCACGGACTTATCCAGGGAGACACGTTCTTGAGGAAATCTTTGGACATTTCTTTTCACTTCTCGCACACGTCTTCCTTGACCGAACCCCCCAGATATCCCTTACGTATTAAAACATTTTGGGGCAGTGGAAAGAATACTGGAGTAAGTCAGGATATCTGGATTCTGATCCCAGATCTGACTCTTACTTGGGTAAGTCACTTAACTGCTAAGCCTTAGTTGCCTCATCTGCCTAACAGGGATGATATCTGACCTATAAACTGCCCTGCAGGGTATTTGTGAGGATTAAATGAAGTTATCTCCAGGAGAGCAATTTGAAAACTAAGACGCTATACAAATTTGGTTCCTCTTATTTGGAAAGGTCTCTTTATCTTCAGACGGTTTGGCCTTGATTATTTCTAAAGCCCCTCACAGAATGGGAATCCGATTCCAATCCTATGATCCATTTGCCACAGCATGGACATGTTGCATGCATGCTCATGGCCCAAGACTTGAATTTTTCTCAGCAGGGCTAACACCCTCCCCACCTCCCCACCCCCCCACCCCCATCATCTCCTAATGGGCAGGCACATTATCACACTGGCCAGACTAACACAAACACCCCAATCTGGCTGTATTCCAAACACCAGATGCGCCCACAATTAGTGTCAGTCTGGAAAATGTTCCTACGTCTGGAAGGTCAGTGTCAGCTGGACATGCCTGCCGTGCCGCCCCCCCCCCCCTTTCTGTCAGCTGTTGGGAGGGTGAGAGAGAGCCTGGGTTTGCCACTTTTTCAACAGTCTTAGCTGTGGAGGTCCCAGCCACAGGCAAGTTTAACTGGGCCTTAGAAGGTTGGCATTCCAGTGTCTGTGGAGTCCAGGCCTACCTTGTTGCTTTTGGAGAAGGAGAGAGTCTTTGGTGTGGGAGGTATAAAATTTGGAGGTTACCCTGAGGGTGTGAGAAAAGGGAAGTCCTGCTGGTTTATAACTGAAAACTGTTCTCCTTTATATTTGCAACGTGTTCATGTCTCTTTTGATTCTCTTACCTCGCCTGTCGCTTTTGGTATGAAAAGGAAAATTAACAATAATATTGTGATGGGCTCTGCTGCTGTATTTAGATCTATTTGTAGGTCATTCTGAGACCCAGCTCTACAGTTCTGAAGAGCTTTCATGTTTCCTTTCCATTCATGGAGGGCTGTGTGGGCCTTTTCTCTAGGTAGTAATGAAAAATTAAATCAAATTGAGTTTGATGTCTACCTTATTGATTCCAGATCCATTCTGGTAGACTGTGACACTTCAGTGACCTGCCAATTCTGCACATTAGAGGCTCGGTTTTACACAAATGCCTTGTACCAAAGGCAGGGGCTCATGCCTCCACTGGCAACATCTCACTGAAGAGGCAGGCCCTGCCAGGAGATGAAAGCTGCTAATGAAGATGTATTCCAGATGATATTTATGGTCACTGTCAGGGGAAAAAAAATGGTGTGTTTCACAAATAATTTCATGGGAATGACATCAAAAATAGAGTATGATTTTCGACATGGTTTCCTCAGCTCCACTTTCCTTTCCCCCCCAATCCAATCCTATCAGCCTCTTTTAGAAGCTCCTGGCCATATCTTTCTGTAGGTACTGCTATTGCTCTCCTTTAAAAAGGTAAGAACCAGTATGATCATTTTTTTCTTGGTGTGAGAGTAAATGGCTAAGCACTATGGTGAACCTCATGGCCTGAGAGCAGAGTTGAGATGTAGGATCATACATATGGAGCTGGAATCTGTCTTTGAGGTAGTTCCAAGCTCTTTCACTTGTCAGAGAAAACTCACGGAGGTGAAAGAATTTGCTAAAGGTCACACAGGTAGGCAGTAATGATAGAACCAGGGTAAAAAAACTTTAAGACACTGCTCTAAATTGGACAACATTTTAAAATATTGCGTTTTGCTAAATGTGTAGCCTCTGCTATTGCTAGGAAGACTGGTGGATTATTTGAGTTTGGGGGTTTGGGGCTTCAGTAGAGCTTGTAGTGAGGATGTGTGTGTGTGTGTGTGTGTGTGTGTGTGTGTGTGTGTATGTGTGTATGTAAATGCCAAATCTTGCCTTTGGAGCACAAATGCTATATAGGCTCATAGAACAGAAGGAAATAGAAAATATTTAGTCCAGCGCCTTCATTTTACTGATGAGGAAATCAAGGTCCATATAGGAGAAATGACTGTACTTACAGCTAGTAAGTGGCAGAGTAGGAACACAAGGTCTTTTGGTAATTCTACCATGCTGTGATAGGAAGAATATTTCCCAGGTCCCTGGAACTCAGGCTAGGCTAATTTTTTTTCCGTTGAAGATTACCAAGACCTTCTCTAGGTTAGCTCAGGGAACTAAATACTCAGATGGTTCACCTGGGTTCCCGGATGTGACCTGGCTCCTTCCTGAGGCTCCTAACCAGCAAGCCACCATGGACAGCCCAGAGGTGGGGAAGCCGTGCCCACCTATATCTTTGCTGAGATATCTTTTCCCTTCTCTGAATATCTTTCTCCTGCTACAGTTAAGTAAACCTCCTTCTGTTAACTGTCAGATGTCAATCAGTCAATAAACATTTATTAATCATCTACTATGTGCCACAGGCACTGTGCTCAGCACTGAGGATACAAAGAAAGGGGTAAAACAGTCTGTGTTCTCAAGGAGCTCACAGTCTAATGGGGGGGATAACATGCAAACAATTCTGTACAAACAAGCTATGCTCTCAGTTACTTCCAATTTTGAACCTGAGGTAGCAGACCATCCTGAGTCAGGCCTGGTCTCTAGACATGCGGTCACTCTTAGACCTGGGGAATCCATTTTTGTCCCCAGTATGGTATAATGGCGATTCCTTTCAGATATGGGTTGGACTAGTTTTCTTCCAAAACTGGAATTCTTATTCTGTGAATGGATCAAGATGGGAGGGGGAAAAGCTTATGAGAGGTAGGGGAAGATGAGCACAGGTTTGGGGGTGAGGGAAAATAAGGGCTGGACAATGAGACCTGTGTGTGTTGGGAGAAACTTCATGGTGCAGAGGATAGCGTGTTTGAAGAAGGCCTAATTTCAAACCTTGTCTCAGACATTTATCAGTTATGTGACTCCGTGCCTTAGTTTCCTCATCTATAAAATGGGGATGATAATAGCACCCATCTCAGAAGGTTGTTGTGGGGAACAAATAAGGTAACATGTGTAAAGTGCTTTGCAAACCTTGAAGCATTTTATAAGTGTTAGCTATTACTATGGCAAATAACAGTTCACATTTATAAAGTGCTTTATTAATTAGCAAACATTTTTCACAATGGTTTTGTGAGGTAGGATATACGTATGTGTCTACATTTGTATGAACCTGGGCTTTTACTGGTGTAGAATATTGTTCCTAATGTCAGTGAGGTGGATCCCTCTACCAATGTTGGTCAGTCTCTGTTCTGTAACTTAGTGACTTCCAGTGCTGCTGATAAAACTCAGTGAGTATGTATCACATGTTTCTGACTCCTGCAATCTCTACCCATGACATGAAGCTGCTTCTCCATATAGTATTACAAATGATTAATACAGATATTATTAGCTTCATTCCACAGAGGCTTAGGTTAAGCAATTTGCTGATTAACCCTATCATAAAGGTGACTTGAACCTGTATCTTTTTACTTTTTGTCCAGTATTTTCCCCATTGCTGAGGTTAGCTTCTCTTCTGTGGTCCTATCCCATAATAGTTGTCTTGAGTTGTCTATGAGAAGTCCACTCTCCTGGATGCTGTTCAGCATTTCATGGCTCAGAGCCTCAGGTGTGGGTGAGAGCGAGGACAGACACTGTAGCTATAGGGCTGGGTGCCTGAATGTCAAATCAATTCATAACTTCATATCATTCATAACTGACCTTCAGCCTTGAATATTATCAGATGTAGTTGGTGTTTCCCTCACTGGCTCACTCATTCCATATTTGCTGCTGATACTGCCACTAGGAGGCACAAGGCTGGGATGTTGGGTCTGGGAGTCAGGAAGACCTGAGTTCAAATTCAGCCTCTGACACTGACTAGCTGTGTGCCTCTGGGCAAATTATTATACCTCTGTCTGCCTCAGTTTTCTCATTTGTAAAATGGGCATAATAATAGTACTTACCTCATAGGATTTCTGTGAGAGTTAGATAATTTTTGTAAAGCTCTTAGCATAGTGCCTAGCACATAGTAGGTATTAATAAATGCTTCTTACCTTCCTTCTCTCCTTTCCCTCTTCCTCCTTCCACGTCTTCCCTCCTCCCTTCCCTCCTTCCCTTCCTCCCCTCCCCTCCTCTCCCCTCCCCTCCCCTCCTCTCCCCTCGTAATCCAACTTCTCTTTGTGCCCCAAGACAGCAGGAGTTCAGAGCTTGTGAGCAGAGCCGAATCAGCAGAGATTGGAGCCAAATTCATGGTGAACAGAGCTGAGTCAGTGATGCCCAGAGCTGAGCCTGTGGGACTGAGGGCCAAGTCAACATGACTCAGACACACTTTGAAGAGGAGGACTGACAGGAAATCATGGCTCTTGAGTTGCAGCTGTGACATTTCACTCCAGTGGACATTTGATGTCTGGGCCCAAGCTGTCTGTCTGGTTTTTAGTGGGGCTGCTCATCCTGAAATATTCTCGAGTCAAAAATACAACTTCCCATCTTCATCCATTCCCTAATGGGTCCAGAGTGTGCAGTGTTTGAGGGGTGCGTGTGTGTGTGTGTGTGTGTGTGTGTGTGTGCATGTGTGTGAGTGTATGTGGAGTGTGTGGGGAGAGAGAGAGAGAGAGAGAGAGAGAGAGAGAGAGAGAGAGAGAGAGAGAGAGAGAGAGAGAGAGAGAGAGAGAGAGAGAGAGAGAGTCTGAGGGGCCAGAAAGTCACACAGAAATGAGGATGGGCTAAGAGACTGCTATGAAGAAGATGTCCAGAGAACTATAAAGAGGTGACCAGAAAGAGAATGAAACAGTCAAAACAAGAAGGGAATGAAGACAGAGGAGGTATCTTCTCCCCTCCCTCAGGCCTGCCCCTCAGCGGACCTAAGCTGGTCTTACCTCATAGGATTTCTGTGAGAGTTAGATAATATTTGTAAAGCTCTTAGCATAGTGCCTAGCACATAATAGGTATTAATAAATGCTTCTTACCTTCCTTCTCTCCTTTCCCTCTTCCTCCTTCCACACCTTCCCTTCCTCCCCTCTCCTCCCTCCCCTCCTCCCTCCCCTCCCCTCCCTCCCC